CTTATCGCAGATGCGCTTCAGCATGATGGCCTGGGAGATCCATCCCGACTCAACCTCACGAATGTGTGCGGGCAATGGCTCCCACCTCAGCTAGGCGTGGAGGATGTGAAGCGCACAGAGGGATTGCTGCTGATAGCCGTGGCCGAAGTTCTCAAATACAAGCCGAAAATCTTTCATGAGCCTGAGGTTGCGGACTATGCTTGGTGAAGGGTCGGTCGTGCGCCACAACTAGTGGGCCTCTCGATGACCATTTTATCCTTTGAGCATGAAAGATTTGAAAGATTGATATCAAATTGTGAAAGGGGTGATATTGATAAGGCTTCTACTGTGCCTTTTATCTTAGCGCAATCTGTGCCAATTCTAATGTCAGACGGTGCGCCAAGGGGCAAGTGGGACAGCAAAAGGATTCGTACTAGTTATGCCTCTACAGGTTCCACTCTTCACAGGAATGAGACCGTGAAGTAGCCTAGTAGGGTCCAGCCCACGTCGTTATGTTCGTCTAGGCTCCAGCCCTCATCTCTCTGTGAATCAGAAATTATATGGACTGTACAGGGATATGTATGTATATGCGCTGCAAAAGACTGCGGAACATTTTGTCTTGGTGACTGGCTAGATTATTGTGAGAGCAGCCGGTCCGCAAAGGCACTTGAACCATCTCCGATCTCGGCGGATCAGCGTCTCTTCTTCAGTTCCGCCAAGTTTGGGGCATAGATCAGCCCTCAATGGTCAAAGTAGACGAACTCAAGTGTCATTTGCTTGCCCGAATTGAGCGAGAACCACAGGTTCACAACTAATTGACTCGAAGCTACTGTATGTGTTAAGTACCTTCGTGTTCTTCTCTGAAATCAGATTTTGGCAATTTAACCATCATTGTGCCAAGACCTTTGAAACGTCACGAATGGACAGCCACCACCACGAATGGATTCAATAACCATACCACGTCTTTGGTCACTCAGTACGTACCGAGTACGAATACAGGGACATGTAACCGATGTCCGATGCCCGATGTCCGATCTCAGCAAAGAAGATATCGCCGTACGGGTGACAACTCTTAACCACGTATATGGAGAAGTAGTAAATCGATTCTATTTGCCCTTCCATAGTAGTATGAGGACTACTCATACGTACAGTAACTTACAGTCTATAATGAATTCAGTTGCTGGTTGTAAATAAGTGCCCCAGTCCGTTTCGTTCCATTGTTCCATTCCGCACCGGAGGTGACAGTCGACGAATCTGGATGGATTGTGGTGCCTCAGCTCCACTTTCCGAAACGCCGCCAAGAGTGTCCGCCTCGCTTAATCGTCAGCGTCCTTCTCAGCCATTACGTTGTCACTGACCTTTCCTGGGCAAGCTTGATGGAGTGTTTTCCAGACTTTGCGGGCTTCTAGCCTATTGCAAGGAAGCGTTGTCCCCGACCACACCCCGTTTCCCTTTCTAGAGTGGTTTTCACACTCTCCTGCTGGCGGACACACTGCTGCTACGTACTACTCCTGTTGCCGTACTCCGTACGGGGGCGAGTACGTACTCCAGTACGAGTAAATGAGTAGTTCCTCATTATGCAAACTCCAAAGATGGAACTGTTTCTTTTCCTTGCCCTCCCCGCTCGGCAGCGTCTCCGATGATCACCCTCGACCGATGGCTCTGAGATCGAGTGACGACCGTGCTGGTTGATTTGATCGTTTCCTCTCCGTCTGCCGCGTGTTTCTCTCTCTTTTTTTTCTCTCTCCCTCTCTCTTCTTGGCCTTTTATTCTCGAGTTCATTAGTCGTTGCTTGTTGGTTGTATGTCGCCTTTGGAGGGGATCATTCCTCTCCCAGTCACTCCTTCAAAATGTTATTCCTCTGGTTCTTGTCATTATTTGCTCTCCGAGGTGTGGTCGCGAAAGCCGAGACTGATAGTGATTTGATGTCCTTCGTCACGGTAAGTGATGGGCAGAAGTGCTAACATCGACCATCGTCTGTCATTAACTGACTAACTAACAATCAATCAGCTGCCGGAGGTCAGAGCATTAAAATTCGATATTGCCTACTACGATCGCCCGGCTATCAGTCCGGGGTATTGGTTCGTTGCGCCATATGGCGTGATTGATCCAGAAGCACCCACGAAGCAATGGAAACCTTGCCAAGTTGGACCCTATATTTATGACGCAGATGGTGTAAGTGCTCATCTTCATGCTTCTTTCTTCCCTTCTTTTCCATCGCTCCTTGAATCTGTCTCTCTGCTGTATCATTTCTCTGTGACCTGTTACGACAAGGCGGAACGCTCGTTTAAAATTGCCTCGAAACTACGGAGCACTAAGCTCATCAAGTGTGGATCATTAGGTTCTCATCTGGGCCGGATCTTGCATGTTTGACAACCGCAACATATTCGATTTCAAGGCCGTGAACAATATTGACAACGAATCTCACCTTTCATTCATTCTTCAACATGGCTACAACTCCGGTGCAGCGGACAAAGGATATGGTTACATCCTCGACCAGCATTATGAGCCGGAGAATGTAGTTGCAGTGACCAACGATCTTGGGGCCTTTAATATGCATGAGTTCAATGTCCTCGACGGCGGAAAGACAGCACTAGCTTGCGCCTACCGGAATGAATACGTGGATCTAGTAGACCTTGGCCGGCCAAACGAGTACGGTTGGATAGTCACGGGGGGGCTCGTCGAGCTGGACCTCGCGACAGGCGAGGTCTTGTTCGAGTGGAATTCACTAGGATACATTCCCATTCATGAGTCTGTCAAAGTAAACGCCGACTGGCCGGCATCTAATGAACCTGGCTGGGATTATGTGCATGTGAACGCGGCAGACAAAAACGCGGCAGGTGATTATCTGCTGTCTGCCCGATTCACGAGCACGATCTACTTGATATCCGGCGAGGACGGACGCATCATTTGGCGTCTGGGTGGAAAGTATTCTGATTTTGTCCAGGATTTCACCTTTTCCAAGCAGCATCACGCGCGGTTTGTGGATTCTAACGCCACGCACACGACTATCTCTTTTTTGAACAATGCGTCTGATGAGGCGGAGAACGAGGAGACGGTCTCGGCTGCGATGTTCGTCCAGGTCGACACAACAACCATGACGGCCCGCCTACTTGATCGGTACGACCGGCCGGACGGCGACCTAACCAGGCTTCGTGGCAGTGTCCAAAGGTTGCCCAACGGCAACGTCTTTGTTGGCTGGAGCGAGCGGGGATACCAGAGCGAACATAGTCCCGACGGCAAGGTACTGATGCAGGCTAAATTCGCATCTACGCGCTTCTCTTCTTATCGGTCGTACAAATTTCCCTTCGTGGGTCGGCCTAGCCAACCGCCGGACGTTGTGGCATCGGTCTACGGGACAGACGAGACGGATATGGCAACCATCTTGCATGTCAGCTGGAACGGTGCAACGGATGTTGCATCCTGGAACTTCTATGCACGCGTTGACCAGCAGGGTCTTCCGGTGCTGATCGGAAACACCACCAAGTTCGACTTCGAGACCATGTATATCGCCGAAGGCTACCTGGACTGGGTATCAGTGGAAGCAGTCGACGGGGATGGCAACGTTTTGGGCACATCAGAGATCCACCGGACAGATACACCGCCGAACTGGCGCCTGGCCGGATTCCAAGGTGATGCGAAGCCCACGCCGGACGATCCAGCTATTCTATATGGCAAGCAGAAGGCGCCAGAGGAGGACGTGGAAGAGGTCGATGAGGCATATGAAAAGGCCAAGGAGGAGGCCAAGGCCGTCAATATGGCCAATGAGGTCATTCACGGGGTGGGTGGCCTACTGATTTTCATTTTGGTGGTGTGTTCCGTTGGCGGGCTCCTGGCGGGCAGCTACTGGGTGCTTAAGCAGCGTCGTATGCAGGCATACTACGAGGTTCCAGTGGTGGAGGATGGTTAGCAAATGCATTGATTTTGAGCGGGCAATATTGTTCTAGAGAGACATATATAACTTACCTATTAGTACATACATATCAAGATATGTGTATATATCAATATAAATATGAATATGCATATGAATATATTTTCAATAAACTTGAGTGTATAGCCGTCCTAATAAGCTGCCCGTAGTAGTTACTGTACATACCCACAAGGTGTACTTGCCCACGTGGCGCTAGTCCGCAAACAGCCTCATCAGCCAAAAACGGGCTCAAACCAACCAAACCAACCAAACCTGAACTGAACTGAACTGAACTGAACTGAACCTTGCAGAGCCACTTTTTGCCTACAATCAATCAATTGCAACTTAACTCTGTAGTTACTCGATATCCAACAGCATCATTGACTCAGTAGTACGATCCATTCCTGCTTGCTTTGATACATCGCCCTCTCTCTCTCTCGTTTCCTCCTGCGCTTCTCATCATCCTCATCTCAATCTAAATCTCATGTCGGCCCTAATCCGGACTGTTCCTCGCCCACTGCGTGTCTCTTCTCGGGTGCTTCTCCAGCAACAGCAACAGCTCCAGTTGCAACACCGCCGCCCCTATTCCGCCCCTTCCTCTCCCTCGTCCTCTTCCTCTTCTTCCTCTTCCTCCTCCTCTCCTTCTCCCTCTTCCACTTCTTCTCCCCATCCTTCCCCTCAATCCACTCAATACAGCCGTTCTCAATTCAAAGTCCTTCCGTTCTTGATCATTATTGGTATCGGATCTGGTTCCTTTATTCTACTCTCAAAGTCCCGTACCGGCGTTCATAAACCCAAGCCATCCGAGACCGTTTAAATTAAGTAAGTCAATTGTCGTTGTACAGTACCTTCAAGCACCTTGCTATATTGACCCCTCTTTCCCGCTTCACTCCCCCACCAAAACAAACTAACATTTTTATCTTCTACCTGATTTACAGGACTCGAACCCCTCCGCGCCTCCCGCTCCCCACCTTCGCCCCCGCCGCTCCCTTAACAAAGTCTCTCCATCTTATTCTCTTTTGGGAGAATTCAATCAATCTCAACCGCCTCCCAACGAAAATCAAATACAACGAAGAAAAAAAAACAAAAAACGAATCCCTTCCTTACCAAGATGTCCACCCCGCGCTTCTCCCCCACCACTACAACCGTCGTCTTCGTCCTCGGCGGCCCCGGCAGCGGCAAAGGCACGCAGTCTGCCAACCTCGTCCGCGACTACGGCTTTACTCACCTGTCAGCTGGAGACCTGCTCCGCGCCGAGCAAGTCCGCGAAGGGAGCCAAGCCGGCGAGCTCATCCGCACCTACATCCGCGAGGGCAAGATTGTGCCCATGGAGATCACCGTCAAGCTGCTGTCCGACGCCATGGCCGAGACCCTGGTCGCTGGCACAAACCCGGCCGCCAATGCAGGCAGCAAGCCTCGCTTCCTGGTGGACGGCTTCCCGCGCAAGCTCGACCAGGCAGTCTTCTTCGAGGACACGGTCTGCCCCTCCGAGATGACCCTCTTCCTCGACTGCCCCGAGGAGGTGATGGAGGCCCGCCTCCTCAAGCGTGGCGAGACCAGCGGTCGCGACGATGATAACGCCGAGAGCATCCGCAAGCGCTTCCGTACCTTTGTCGAAACGAGTATGCCCGTCGTCGAGGCCTTTGCGGCCCAGGGTAAGGTGGTCTCCGTGAAAGCTACCGGCGATGTCGGAGACGTCTATAAGAGGATTCGGGCGGGCCTCCTCGAGAAGGGTCTGAACCCCCTGTGAGTTCCGTCAGGAGAATGGGCGATGGATCGCAGAGATTCCAGGGCTTGTTTAACAGTCTCTTCGATGATGATACGCGTGTGTGGTCGATGGTGTCAGCGTTCTGAAGTACATATATATCCATACCTACATACACCGCATATAGTTTTGGAGATTCGATCTTGTTATAGATTTGTTGCTGGGCTGACCGGCCTGATTCTACATTTTGGTTTGGAGTTTTCTGCCCCTGATCTCCGCCATTGCCTCCGTAAGGACGCACAAATCCCCCAGGTGAGGTCCCTCTGCCATGGGGCGGAGATACAACAAGAAAGGTCGTCTTAACGGTTGATTCATCCTCCATGTTCTAGGTACAGCACACCACCCCCTGACACCACAAGCGATCAAACCGTCCATCTCGATCCGACAGTAAAATAGAACAATTCTAGCGTTAAACACAAGAAATCAGTTACAAACACCCAATCCCAAGACGAAGAATAAGCGTTAAACACCGCTGCCCAGCCATGACACAGAGATACTTTTAAGTCTTTTTTTTCTAGCTCGTCCCTAGCTCCGTCTGCGCGGTTTGAAGGGTGTGGTATCTGGTAGATAGTAGGTCGAAAGACATAAAAAACAAGGTATGTAGGTCTCATCATCAGTCATTGATCCTTCCCCGCATTTCCGTCCTTTCATCATTTACTCAACCACAGCTTCCACGGGTGCACTGGCGACAGGAGCGGCCGGGGTCGAAGACTGGTTCTGGTTGTTGTTGTTGTTGTTACCCTGCTGGCGACGACGGTCACCCGACTTGCCCTTATCGGAGGACTTGCCCTGAGCAGCCTCCTCAGCCGCCTGGGCCGCCTGCAGCCCTTCGCGCACGAAGCGCTCACGCTCGGAACGGACAACACCCAAAACGCGTTCCAGGCTACGGCGCCAGACCATCAGGCGACCTTGCACCTCAGCCCACTGCTTCTCACCGAAGACGCGGTAGGTGGCGCGGTGGACGAGGAACTCAGAGCGCAGCTGCGAAAGCTTACCCTCGACGAGACCAGCACGGATGGTGTCAATGACCCACTTCTCAACATCCTCGTCCGACACCCGCAGAGCATTGGCGATTGTGGCATAGGGCAGAGAGCGGGAGGGGGTAGTAGCGGCCAGCGAGGCCAGGGTGAGCAGGCGCATCTTGGTCTGCAGAGCATCGCCGGCCTCGGCCAGCACACCACCTGAGATACCAGCCAGAGGGCTGGTGGCAATGAGGGCCTCGTAAGCGTCAAGGGTGTCGGCCGTGAAGATCTCGAGCAGCTCGAAGAGGGTGCTGTCGCTGGCGCGCAGGGCCTGAACGGCGTCGGAAGCGGTCAACGGAGTGAAGTCAAAGACGGCGGGAGAGGTGAGCGCAGAAGTCAGGGCACGAACGGCCAGATCGCGGGCTTCGGAACTGGAGGCCTGGGCTGCGGGGATAGTCTGCAGGGCTTGGACGACATGGGACTGGGAAAGCTCGGCGTCACCGGCAGCTTGAGCGGCATCAGCGATTGCCAGGTGGAGGCGCTGGGCCTCCTCAGCCTCGAGCTCCCAAGCGGCGAGCCAAGCAGGCAGCTGGGAGGTCAGCTGGGGCTTGAGGGCGTCGAATGCGACCGAAGCACCGGCCTGGCGGATGACGGCAACGATGGCCAGAAGAACGTGGTAGCGGCTGGAATCGGTGGGAGCGAGGGTGTTGAAGATGGTGGACAAGATGGAGATGGCCAGGGAGGGACCGAACTGGGGAGAGGCGGAAATGGGTTTGGCGAGGTAGGAGCAGATGCGGGAGAGGAACATGTCCGGATCGGAGGCCTGATGAACGAGGTGGACGAGGAGGTTGTAGGCGGAGATGATCTCTGGTTTGCGTCAATTGCGTCCATTTGTCATAAGTCTTTTGTGTCTTTCTTCGTTCCGCAGCAACAACCAAAGAACTGCTTACCCTTCTCGGGGGCCGCATTCAGGACGGCAGCGGCGGAGACCAGCTTCTTCAGAACCTCATCGCGCTGCTTGCGATCAGGTTCGGTACCAGACTGTTCCTGCTGACGCAGAGGTTCCAACAGTGGGGCGATGTCGGCCTGGAGACTGGACGCGGCGGCGTCGGGCTTGCGAAGAGCATCGATGTACTGGGCGAACTCATCGGCGAGTTCGGTGAACGAGCCCTCAATGAGGAGGGTGGTGGAAGGGGCGGGCATCGTGGTGGATGATTAGAAGTCGATGTCGAAAGATCGATCAATGGTTGTACGGAGAGGAGGTTCGTACTTTGGGGAGAGGGGAGGAGGGGGGGCGGGGGGGGAGGGGGAGAGGAGGAGAGGGAGAGAAAAGAAGAGAGAGGGGAAGGGGAAAGGAGAAGACCGAAAGAAAATTGAGATACAGGAGATAAGAGGGGGAGGAGAAGTAGGGGGGTTCCACCAGAAAGGAAACAAGATCCAAAAGAGAAGCAGAGGGAGAAGAAGGAGGAGAAGCGAAAGAAGCGAAGATGGAAAAGGAAGGGAAAGAAAGAACTTACAAGCAGGCAGAGATTGGGCGGTGGAGAAAATTCCATTCCGTTGTGGGAAAAACTCTTGGCACCGCTTCTACCATCACTAAATTACTTGGAATACTGTGGGATGCTCCTCCATCTACAACAATATAACAACAACAACAACAACAACAACAACAACAACAACATAATGATTATACACTGAAAAAAAGAAAAAAGAAAAGAAAAACGAATCAGCTCAACGGCGGATTAAATTAATGTGCAAGGATCGACCCCTCCTATGGGCGCCCAGCGGGGAATAATCGTATTTGACATCAAGTCGTAGAACATACAGCCACCACAACAACCATCACCCTTCTCCCCCTTGAAACATGGTATGACCACTACACAGACTCGGAGAAATGTCTTGGAAGGCATGTAGCACTCTAACCCCACACCCACAGACATCAAATTATGCGAACGGTCCCAATCAGTTGATGTTTGTTGACCGGCTTGCACATAACACGCCCCTTCATTCGGGTGGTTTCGCTCTCAAGTCTTTCACTTACAACACCAGGCGCAGTCCCACAAACAATGCGGTGGCCAACAGACCGGTGGCATGCTCCTGGGCCAAACGAACGGCAGCGTTGGCCGTGGACGAGCTGCTAGTGCTGCTCGAGGTGCTGGTCCCGGTAGCCGTGGTAGACTTGTCAGAGCTAGTGCTGGTGCTGGTAGCCGTGGTCAAGCTGGTGGCGCTCGAGGTGGTGGACGAGGTAGTCGAGGCAGCCGACGCATTCAGGGTGCCACAGGTCTTCTCATAGTCCTTGCAGTGCTCTTCCTCAGTCAAGCTGGACGAGTTGCTAATGCACTGGGCATAATTGGCCTGGCAAACGAAGAAGGGGACGGTCTGCGCATAAAGCGACACGTCGGCGGCGGAACCGTTGGAGCAGATGCAGGAGAAGTCCAAGGTAGTCTGTCGCGACATGGTGAGCGGTTCGTTCTCTTAAATTGGTTCGGCTATGCGCTTACCGAGTCGCAGGAGTTGCTGGTAGCGACTCCACCACAAATCTCAGGGCAAGAGTTGCGCTCCGCGGTACACCAAGAGGCTGGAATCAACGAGTCAGTGAAGGGTGAGGAAGACGACATCGCATATTAGCATACCGCGGGTGCCAGAGGAGATGGCGTTCAGGTCGAACCCATCAGGTAGAGTGTAGTTGCCGGTCGAAGCGGCGGTGGCCGAGGCGACCAGACCGAGGGCGAAGAGCGAGGAGGCCAACATGATTAAGTAGATATTCGAATTGGCGAGGGTAAGATGGTGATGTGTATATCACAGTCGCAGTAAAAGACGTGCAAGGTAAGAAGAGCAGGTATGGGGTAATTGCACGTAGTAGACGTTATAAAGAGATGCTACTATTCTGGGGAGGGGAAGGGGGAAAGACAGAAGTGTAACAAGGAAGAAGAGGAGAAGAGAGGAGAAGAAGGAAAGGAAACAGGAGAGGGAGAAGAAGAATTGATGATAAGAGAGCAGGAAGAGAGGAGAAAGGAAGCTGAAGGAAAGAAGCTAAGCCAAGAGGGTAAAGCAGTAAAGTAACAGCAGCAACAACAGCAGCAGCTACAGCTACAGCTACAGCTACAGCAGTCCGGCGGTAATAATAATAATAATAATAATAATAATGCTAATAACAGGATGGAGAGGAGAGGAGAGAAGGTGCCACAGCCAGTTTAGATCCATCCTTCCTTCTCCAGTCTTTCTCTGCATACCTGAGTTACCGATAGTTACTTAAGTTACTTAAAGTTACTTACTTAGTTTGTGTATATGTTTATTTTGTTTTAGTTAGGTAAGTTCCTATTTTCCCCTCCTTTCTAAGATTTTTTGTGTTTTTGTTTTGTTTTCTTTCTCTTTTTTTTTTATTGTTGCTTTTCAATCTCCCCTTTTTTTTACATGCACACGCGCGCTGCTCTTCTTTTTCTTCAATTCTAGTTCTAATTTTTCAAATCATGGCCTTCATTGATGGTTCCCGCATGATCTAGAAAACAGATACTTACTCTGTACACCCAGATTACTAGCAGTACGATCAATAATAATCAGACTGGGGAATTTTCGGTGCACTAGTGAGTAGTCTAAGATGACTAGTCGACTCCGTTGTCAATGATGAATGAGGAGATGGAGCCAGCCCTTGGCACTCACTGGATTCTTTCCCATTATTATCCGGCGGGAAATTATTCGTATGGCTGGTGCCTTGTTTTTACGCTGTCTAGTTACTGATTTGATTGGTCAAGGCTACCCTAGGATGCGAGGGGAGCTTCGAGTTGAAATGAAATGAAACGAGCGAACAGAAGAGAAACTCGTTGACTGCCACTAAGTAGGCCGTGCGTGCAATGCGCAAGATGAACTCCTTCCTGCAGCTGCGGCGGGGGAAGGGGAGAGGGCAGTCTCCCCTATTCTCTGTGTGATCCATTATGTTACCCAGTAAGTATACATAGGTCAGGCGACCCAATTGTGTCTTGTCTTGTCTCCCTGGCTTTGGGCCAGGAATGTTGCCCAGCCCAGTGGTATGGTATGAATGAAGAGAGGTTGGAGGTTGGTGGAACCACTGCAAGTGCGAGGTTGATAAGCAGAAGGCCCAATTGAGTTTGGGGGCCTTGGTTTAGGGCCGGCACGAAAGAGTTTGTTCCTGCCCTGCTGCCACTCAGTAGACTCGGTAGACTCAGTCGCTCAGTTGCCAATAATTTGGGTAGATTATTTGAATGGGAAAGACATAGCCGCCCACTCTTCGGAAGAAAAGAAATATGGAACTTCGAAAGTGATGCCAGTGAAAGTAATTTGCTGTTACAGTCTAGAGAGGTAGTACAGTACCATGACAGTAAAAGAGGGACCTGAGGACTGTACAGTAGATCACCCGAGGAGTTCCGTAGCCGAGGATCCAAAGCAGAAGCGAACTACAGGGTCCTCTTCCTCTCTTCACAAGGGAGGGAGAGAGAGAGAGAGATAAAGGGCCAACAAAACAAACTACCCAATACTGTACTGTACTGTACACAACTAGATATCTTACCCCGATTGTAACCTGTAATATATACCTCATTCATACCTGACCATAACTAGAAGAATCCCTCCTCTTATCCAGATAAGAAGAATACTTTCTGACATCCAATCCATCCTCTTCTCTGTCGCATCACTACGGGGTAGATTGATTAGTACTTCTTTTCTTTCTCTTTTCCCCTATCTTCCATAACCCCAGTTCCTGGCCCACGTCATGTCCCCTTCGATATCCATTCTCAATCAACCACATCCCCCCGCCCTCGAACCATTTCGGGTGGCCGTTCCCCCGGTGGTGACCCGGTTGCTGCATCATCCCGACTACTTTCCCATCCGCACCTGGTCCCGCATTTTCAAATCCGACTCAGGTGAGGATGGCTATTTTGCCAGTACACTGGCCTCCCCATTGACGATTCCCCATGTCTGCACCCTTCGTCGCCAACCGGAGCTGCTCGCACCCCTCCCTGATACTGCCCCCGTCTGGCCCGCTCCCAACTCGGTGTCTCGAATTGAGAACCCAGATCTCTACTTAGTCCTGCAGCTAGCCACCCCAGGGGTTTCCGGTCATCCCTCAACCGCTCATGGCGGTCTCTTGGCGACCTGTATCGATGAGGCCATGTCCTATGCCGTTGCATTGCACGCCCCCGAGACAGGCGCCGCCGGGGCTCTCTCCGCCCACCACCCGCGCGGCATGCTGTACACTGCCCAGCTCGACATTCGTTATCGCGCACCCGTCGCCGTCCCTGGCTATGCGCTTGTCCAGGCCAAGGTATTGGCTCGGGTAGGTCGCAAGTTCTGGGTGCATGCTCAAATTCTGCAGCCAGGCGAAGCGGCCGAGGACCCGCTACGCGTGACAACCGATGCATTTGCCTTTTGGCTTCAAACGAAAGCAGCCTTGTGAATCGCGTGGCGTCTCAGATGCCATCTCACAGAACTCAAGGCCTCGCACAACAAAGAGCCTGTCGATAGAATGCGATTCCTTGCGATTTTCTTGCATATATTAATGCTAGCTAGATAGATTTATGTATATCTCTTCATTTGTCTATATACCTTCACGGAAGATAGAGATGCTTTATCTATTGATATACACACACTCGAGACCCCTTCAAAGACCTCTACAACTTCGGCTGACGTCCTAGATTGCGACTCGCGCTCACCACCAAGCCCACCTGCGTCGCCACGGCCACCACCTGCCCCGCTGCATCCATCACGGTCACTCCCAGGTCCGTCCGACCGTCCCGCACGGACACCGTTTGCACTCGACTGTACAACCAGGCCTCCCCCGTAGCTGGCAGCCGCTTCTTTAAATCGATGTTCAAGGCCACCGTCGGATACCAATGCCGACCACCGGCCTCGCCGTCGCCTGCTGCCGTCGCAGCCCTCTGATCCAGCCCCGACAACGCAAGGGGAAAGGTATCAGTCAGGTACACCAACGCTTCATTCGACCAGCGCGCCGCCTGATCACCCTCCGGTCGGAATCGAGCCCACTGATCCACAGCCGCCATGGTCTTGGGCTGTCGGGGACCGTACAAGTCCACATGCTGCGTCGCGCGCCGGAATTCAGGAAACGGCAGTTTGATCCGCTCCCACTCGCCGTCACGCCCTGACCCCCCCAACGCCACCAGATCGACACCTCCATCTGGCCGTGACCCCCTTGCCGGCATTGGCAGGGGCATCCAGCCCGTTGGGGCCGTCAACCCAACCTCCGCATGAGCTGGACTGACTGTGATATACCCCGCTATCTTGACCTCTTGCTCTTCCGGTGCGGCCTCCTCCAAACCGGCTCCTCTGCCCGAACTCCTGGGCTGTGTCAGAGTCACGTGAATCGTACTCGTTCGCGACCCGATCTTGACATCCTGCACGTTGAGCAGGGCAGGTCCCACCGCCGTCCGGCGCAGAAAGGTCAGTTGCATGGCAATCGGTGTGGCGGGGCCACGATACTGCAGCGGATGCGTATGAGCAAAGTGTGTCAGCGCCAGGCGGTAGAGGATGGCACTCGTATAGCCTCCATGCGGCACTGTTTTGTGGTTCCTTGTCAGTGTATGGTAGGAATTATGGGACGAGAGCGAAAAAAGTGGCGTCGCTGCCGATCAACACACTCCAAACAATGGGTATGATCTCTTACCAACTCCGATGCACCAATCCTGCCGAAGATGGGCCGAGTATTGATGTGATTTAATGGGTTTGACTTGGATTGCGGCCTCAAAGGCGGTTCCGTGCGGAGGTGCTACCGCCATCTCGTTCATAGAGTTCGGACGCGCTCAAATTCTTCCCCTTCGGATGGTACTCAAGCCAGCAACAATATCTACAGACCGTATGGCACCTAGACGTTATGGGTCGATGGAGAGACAAGGATTAGGAAATAGGGACAAGAGATAGACGAACTTTTGAGACGGGGAAGGGAAGTATTGACAGATGTCGCAGTGAGCCGTGAACCTCGGCTGTTAAGCCGTAATGAAAAGCGGAGAAAACACCCTACTGTAGCGACAGATAGGTAATTTAGGTATGGGTTAAGGTTGATGTGTGAGCTGTACTGTACTGTAACGTACTGTACAATATATAGCACAGTACTGTTTTCTTCGATCAAAACTTTTGATACACTCAATATGGGTTTCACTAATTGAGTAGTTATGGTTTGCATTGACCTACTCTAGAAACAAGGTCGGTCTAACAGTGAACGCCAGGATTTCCAACTCTAGGAACAATCCAACCCGATCCTCTGTCGTTAGCACCAGTCAATTCTAGAATTCCCCGACTGCTTTTCTAGTCCCTGTATTCGGCTTGGCTACGAGACTGACATAATTGTCCTTTCCATTGTAAGGTCAGGGATGGTACTGTACGTCCGCGATTAGAAGAATCCCGCGGTTGGCCGACCACCTCTTTGCATGTATCCGTGTACTCATGCCTATGCAGATGTGAAATTGTTTGTCCTGTAATCGTGTCATCGTGTGCTTATGGACGTATACGTCATCGCGTCTGTGTATGTGTATGCGTATGTGCGGGTACGCGTTGGGATATGCATGGAGTCATTTACGACTTGTGCTCAGCCAATCGTTCCAAGCACGACAAGACTCCTGTTGAATGAATTAGCCAATTGTCACAATCACGCGAAAGCATGCAGAGCTAGAAGCCTTACCAGTTACACCTTGGGTTAGGGTAGCCCTGGCTTCTGTGCTCCGAGAGCCCAGTGTTACCGTCACGACGTGGTTAATCGCTTGTGCGCTCTCCAGCTTATTGGCCCATCGGAAAACAGGCTCGTCGTCGCGACTGTCTCCAATTGCCAACAAGAAATCCGGACGGACTACGCTCTGATCTTGCTGGCTCTGCTTGAGACACGACCGCCACACCAGTTCCGTCGCCGACGCTTTGTTCGTACCCATCGGCTCGACCACAAGGGCTCCTTCCACGGGAATGGCATGGACGCCCTGGTTGGCGCAGGCATCATTGATGTGCCCAGCGCACTCTGACGCCAGTCGTGCAGCCGCTACCTGGTCTTCCGCGGATCCGTAATGGAAGACGAGTGAGCAGTGTCGCTGTTCAATCCAGCTGCCCTCAGTACGCTCCTGGTAGTAATCCAGAATCTGTAGCACCGCTGTCTTCCACGCATCTGTCTGAGTCTTGTCCGTCAGCTTGAGCCAGGTTTCCGAGTTTGGCTCCCGCACGAAACAACCATTCTCTGCAATCAAGCCGAGACCAGCGACCAGGCGGAACAGGCGCTCCATCTCTTCCGGCATACGGGCACTCATAACGTACACCACGTTGCGGGGATCGTCAGTCAGCTCTGCTAGCGTAGTGATGGCTCGCTGGGGCGTAGTCACGATTATGCTCTTCGGAGACCCCCAAGACGCAAGGGTGCCTTCGTAATCCACAATGATTAATCGACGATTGGACTTCTGATACATCTCCTCCAGTTTGTTCGTCTGTAAGCGTGGCACGGCCATTATTTCACGTGACGATTGCTCGTTCCAAACACGGTTCAGGGTCTCACTGAACGACTTGACCCAGTTGGCTGTCGAGTTCTGCAGCACTGCCTGGTGCATTTGCATCCAAACCTCCTTCCGCTCTGTTTCACTCCGCGACAGCGCCGTGTGAATCGCCTCTGCGCATTGCCGGTAATCCCAAGGATTGACCAGGAGCGCATGGTTACCAAAGACAGACGCGCTACCAGTGAACTCACTCAAAATGAGCGATCCATATTTCTTGTTGTTGCCCCATTTACCGTCCTGGCAGTAGACGAACTCATGGCTAGTCAAGTTCATACCTTCACGTAAGCTTGTGATGATCAACGCGTCAGCGAGAGAAATCAGCGCCAGATACTGAGGGAAGGCCAGGTCCTGTTTCAAAAAGACCAGTGGCTGGTGGGCCAGCGTGGAATGCGTTGAGTTAATCCGCATCGCGATGTCAGAAATGGTGGCCTCGAGCTCGGGCTGCTCGGTCGTGCTCGTCGCTACTTGAATCAAAACAACCTGAATCATCGTTAGGAAACCATTATCACATGCTAAGGGACAAGCCAAGGACGAGGAAGAAATTGGCTGATAGCCATACCTGATCACGCCATTCGGGATATGTGTTGAGGAAAAGCTCATAGCTCAACAGCTTTTGTCGGATGCCTCGAACCTGGTCGATCTTGTCACGCGAAACAATGAGACGCTTGCCCTCGTAGCGCTCTGCGATGGTTTTAATCCACCTCTCCACATCGGCTGCCCTGCGCCGCTGATCCCAGGAGGTTGGGTCAATGCCAATGGAAAACTTGCCTACATTGACGAACCGATCTTCGAGTTGGAGCCCTTCATTAGTGGCCTCTACGCAGAGGATGCGACTACATGTCTGAAGAAAATGACGGCAGTATTCGTCCGTCTGGAACCCGATCAGGTTCGCACCGAGGATGCCCTCTAGGAGCTCCTTGCGAGGGGCCAGACAGCGGAACACCTCGGAAGATGGGAAGGCAATATGCAGGAAGAAGCCAATCTGTGCGTCAGGCAGCAGCTTCCGCAGCATGGCCGGAACAAGAAGCAGGTGGTAGTCCTGAATCCATATAGAGTCGCCACGCTTCCACTTCTGGGCGATTTTCTCAGCAAAGGCCTGGTTCGTTTTGACATAGTAGATCCAAGAGTGATCTTCATATGCCTTGCTCTTAGGATTATCGGGGATTTGGTAATGGAATACCGGCCAGAGGATTGTTTTGCAGAAGTGTGTGTAGTGACCGTCAAAGTCGCCGTCGCTGACATAAACCGTCATGGACCCATACTCTTCCTCGAGCTTCCGAGCAATGGAATCCTTCGTTGATTGGGGCAGTGCATCAGTAGGCATGCCCAGCGTGCCTACCCAGACCTTGTCCTCCAACTGGCCGGCATCCGTGGCGGATCGCACAGCGTTGCGCAGTCCTCCATTGCCCTGCTCCGCAGTCTGAATGGTCCATTCAGCGTCGGAGAACGAGCTCTTCCGGCTCTGAGAGCGACGGTGATCGGTAGTAGACGACGTCGGCGGCTGCGGGGTTGTACGTATTTTCTCCTTGGCAGGTTCCGTCCCTGGCGCTATGGGTTCTTGGTGCTTAAGAATAGAAGGCGATGCCGGGAAAGCTGCGCGTGGTCGAGGCTGGTTTAAAGAAAGGGTTGAGCCCCATGCAGGTGAATGAGCTTCGCTTTCAGTCAAGAGGTTTGCTTCCCGATCAGTACTGGGGAACGGGTAGCCGGAATGCTCCAGTTCAGCCTTGGCGATGTCTGCCGCAAAGAATTGTTCATGTTCCGATGCAGGCCCAGGGGTGATTCCAGGCTTGACGCTGGCATTGTTTCTCTCAAACAAGCTCACAGCCGCACTCGGAGTGGCAGCAACGCTTTGCACAGGGTTGGTCGGCGGTGGGCTAGTCGTTGTGTTGGCTTCATGATTCTGCGGGTCGTTCACATGGAAGTCTACCGTATAAGGAAGGAACCTGGAGTTCCACGAATTGTTAATCAGAACCTACACTCGAAGTTGTTGACTAATGGAGAGGAAGCTGACGACATACAATGAAGCAATGTAGATAGTCATGGTGACAGAGAGGGGGAGAAGTCCCCGGTGCGGCCTGGTGGGGATAAAGCGGGGGGGGAAGCAAGGAGAAGAAAGCTAAATGGTCATAAAATGGTAGCAAGAAAGGGAGGACCAGTGATTGGGATGGAGGTCCGATGAAGGTAAGCCAGAGCAAGGTCTGGAATAAGAAGAAAGAGGAAAATGTAGGAGAAAGTGTGAAAGAAAGGACAGAGACTCAAGGTGGAAAGGAAAAGGAAAAGGATGAAAAGAAAGAAGAAGAGGAAGAGGAAAGGAAGAGGAGGACGAGAAAGACAGAAGCCAGGTTTGAGTTTCAAGTTCTCATGGCTACGTCATGTGAAGTAAATTATTAGGTAGAATTGGAAGAATAGAAAAGAGTTCATGTCACGTTTATGTAATAACTTAATAGTAGTTCTCTCTTATCAAAGGAGTGGGTCAAGAGTTCTAGACAACCTTAGAAAGAGCTGGTAGTGTATGGAGTACTCAGTACTGTACCGCGCAATTGAACCCACGAAGTCTTTTCACATGAAAGATCGGCAAACAACTGATTCAATGCAGGCTGGATCTTAGCTGTCACTGTTTACGGTGCCCAGCTTCTCAGTGATTACGCCATAGTATACACATCCATGGTGGTCATTTGACTGTACTGTATGTACTTGGTTAACGTGAACTACTCATGTATATGTACTGTCACGGATACAGTACATACATACCTTATCCAGTATTTTCAGGAATCACGTTGATTATCACGTGATCGCAGATAATCGCTAATCGCTGGTCCCTGCATCAGCCTTAGGCCCCCAACTTTCTTTAGTTCTGCTTACTGCTCTTCTTTTTTTCTTGTTCTATACTTCGTACTTCCATATCGTACCACTCACCCGGCCATGCCCTTGCGGATCACTTCTGCCCCTGTTGCTGGAATCAAGAAGAACAGAAAGTCCAACTCTGTTAGGCCGCGCGTCTCTCCCTTCGCCGCACATCCTCGTCGCAAAGCCACGGCCTCGTCGACAGATGCTCCCAATCCCAACTTCACAGATGATTATGATCAAGGCTTCTTACCCGACATGGGGCTGTCGCGGTACGTCTCAGAGACTGCCCCCGCGACCGATGTGATGCAGGCGATTCACTCCATCCGAACAACTATGTTCGAGGATCTTCCTCAGCGGGCAGGGATGAGTAGCACCCGCATTGCCGAAGTGCTGAATCTCCGCCGGTCGATCCCCCCGCTTGCCTCTGTGGCCCACGTACATACGCTACTCGATGCGCCGACCGGAGTCGAAAAAGAAATCATGGAGTTGATTTCCACGGGCCGCGTACGACGCTTGATCGTGCCAGGAAGAGGCAGTGATGCTGCGGGCCTGGGCGACTGTCTGGTCCTCGCTGAAGAGTGGGATCAGCTGGTGCAAGACAATCCTACTTTGGAGGAATCGTTAAAAGGTACTGGCACCAGTTACTGCCGCTTGAGCAAATGATGAAGCAAACTTTGCTGACTGTGTCAACTGTCTTTCTCCAGAGAAATTCCGACGAGTCCTAAGTCGCATCGGAAATAACCCTGCCGTTCCTGGTAGCGCCTTCACGGTACCTGAATATATGGCCTTGATTCGCGCCGGGTTTCTTGTTTCCTCTTCGTCCTTAACCCAGGGCGCCTCGGGCTTCACATCACTTCCTGCACTGCCGGCCAGCTCGGCTGTCGCTGCTGCTGCGAGCCGAAAGAGCCCGCATGATGCGGCGAGCGACAATGCCGTGACTGAGCATAACACGTTCTTTCAAACCGCGACCCTCTTTCTTTCCTTACCGAACACGGGACCATATCTTCGTCTACTGTCTGCCAGCCGGTCCCACCTTCTTTCGCTTTTGAATCGGTCGGGTGCGCGGGAGGTGCCATTGTACCTTCTTCGGGACCGATGGGACGGAGCCGTCGAGAATGGTCAGAGCTTTAGCATTGCTAAGAGAATAAGGGGAGAGTTTGCGGGGATTCTACCCGGTCGCACGAAAAAATGGAAGGAATTGTACGGGATGAGCTTCCGTTGGGCTCTCGAGGAAGCCCTTGGAGCCGGGCTTATTGAGCTTTTTGATACGGGCAGTGTTGGCCCGGGAGTGCGCAGTCTTTAATGGAGGACTGATGACATATTTGCTTTTTGATACCCTTTGATTGTTTATACGGTGTACTACGACTAGATGGAATGTCTCCTTAGCATGAAACCTATGACAATATAATAAAACTGCGCGAAAATGTATGTATGTATGTATGTATCTCTCTCTCTCTTCTCCCCCCCTCCCCGCCCTCCGCGGGATGGTTGGTATGTAACTAGACAGCGACCGACACATATATATACTAAGGGGAAGGTCCCCATCCAAGTTTTCAAAGCTATTCTTACATATCTGTTTTTCGTTCTTGTTTCCTCCCTTATCTTCCCAAAATTACATTTTCTCCTCTCACTCCCCTATCGCTCATCGAAGTTCCATTTTCATCATGTCACTACCATCATATATTCGTCTTCAGCCATTCTCCTTTTCCGTCTTACCTGACCATCCCTCTCTCACTCAGATGCCAACTCGACCACCCCTGCGCGACTTCATCCACGACATTCTGACCGAAGCCCAGTCCTTCGTGTCTGCCATTCCGACCACTTTCCATCCTACCCATAAACTACGCCGTTCACCCCCAGCTGCAGCTCCTGTCCTCCTCTCGACATGCTCGCTCCCCAAAGCCTGCTCCGGCAGGGGTCCCAAGAAGACAAAGAAGCAGCAGCAACAGCAGCGCGGCTCTGAGTTTTGGATTTGTCGCACAAGCGTGCACGAGAACGCAGCCCGCGATGGCACCGCATCTTCGGCGGAGTTTCGTGCCGGGCTGAGGGAGAATCATTCCGCACATGAGATGGAGTACACGCCTAGCGTAACCGCCGTCGAGACATTGCTGGAGTGGCCATCACAGTCAGTGATCGAAGGTGGGTGGCAGCAGGTGGAAATCCATGGTGAGTTAAGTCATCTCCCCTGTTGTTGCAACCTTCCTGGGTGCAAACGACGCCTCTCTCAGCGATCGCCTCGCCTGAATTTGCTTACTGGAGATGCGACTAGTAAATGCTATTACGCATACCTTCCATCCGAGGCATCTCATCGCCCCGCGCACCTTCATCGTTCTTGTCGTCTCCGCGGACCAACCGAGCGATCGGAGCGGCTTTGTTATCGTACAAATTCCACTGTCTTCGACTGTGGAGCCGGCCGAGACCCTGTCAGACTTTCTCTTTGCTGTCACGGCCGCCCATCCCCCCAATGCGATACTTGCCGCGTACGCGAGCGTCGAACAGGTGCTGTTCACTTCTTCCGAGACGGACACCGACGTTGTCACCTGGACAATGGCCACCACCTCTGATGCTGGCGGTGCCATCCCGAGCTGGGTGCAACGAAGTTGGACTCTGGGCGGAGCCCCGAGGGCTGTTGTGGCGGATGTTGGCTTGTTCATGAAATGGGTAGCCAGCAAAAGGTCATAAAATGGCAAATATGATCATGCGCAGATCAAATTCAGACAGCTGAAGGTTGGGCTGAAGAACTGTACAGGCCTCGGCACTGATTACATTGGTCTGATCCTATATTTCTACCTTCCAAGCCTCATGGTTGATAATCTGGAGCCAGAAAAAAAGAGAGCCACCGAAACAATCACGACAACGGCTTGAAGAGCCTGACTCACTACTCACAACCCGTGGATTGGTAGGTTGTGGATGCACAAGTAGCATGGTCAAAAGAACTAACGCCCAATAAATAGAAGTCTTAAAGGAAGGCAATTTCCCGCAGTCAGTAGGGTGTAACATGGATGCGGCATCAGGTGTCGCTTGAGGTAGAGTCAAATAGAGTGAACAGTGGATCCATTCAAGGCCAAATCCCGGGATGGCCTGACTATTAGTCCACTCGGTGGCCACGAGCACGGAATGAAGCATATGGCTAACAAATTACTAAGGATACAGGAACGAGGAAAAGCCCGGGGTTGCCGGGGATGTTGATGGCAAGCTGAAAGGCAAATTCGAGGGGAAAAATGAGACCCACCTGACAGCGGGTCTACACACGGCAATGGGATACTGTTCATTAACGGCGTCCAGGTTTTGAGTTCGGGAAGATGAAGAGAGAGATAAGAAGAGTATGGGATGAGCATAACAGGATTGGCAATCGGGTAGGAGATCAAGGTATATGACTTCCGACACAATCTCCGGGTATTCTGAGGAATATGGGCAGCGTTGAATTCGTGGTCCACAAGAGAAAGGTGGAGGCGAGGACCAGTTTTGGGGTGGGGTCTAGGCACTAGACAAAAGAGACACGACCAGAGAGCAAGAGATATATAGTAGGCAGCGGGCGGAGGGTATGCAATCTGAAAGAATGGAGAAAACCGTTCAGCGTGGCCCAGCAGTGACACTACCAGACTCTGGCTGAGATGGCGGCACGCTGGAGGTTGCTAATGCATTAACATTGGCTGACGCCAATTGTACCCTTAGCGAAGCAACTTCTGCTTTCAGACCGTTCAACTCCTCATGGACAGAGCGAATATATGCCCAGAGCTTTTCTTCCCTGTCACGACTCTGATCGAGATAAATGGCTTCATGAGAGCCGGGCAGCTGACTGCCATTGTTCAAAGCTGCTTCCGGTCCTGGTTTAGAGGTCAATGGCCCGCTGTGATTGCTTGAATGACTGTGGGAAGGGGTATGTTTGGTGCCAGTCGAGGCAGGCGGGGGGCCAGATCCTTGTGAATGAAGTGCAAACCGGGTGTCAGAAGAGCTTAAGCCAGGAGGCGGGGGAAGCTGGGGTGCAGACGATTGAGGAGGGGGAAGGCCCAGCCCTGGAGCCGCTGAGGGACCAGCCCTGCTGTACGGTTGTTGCCCTTGTTGCTGAAAAGATTGAGAAAGACCAGGCGAATGAGCCCTGTGCAGCTGGGCATTATTCTCCGGGTTGTGACCGAGTTGGTGAGACGATAAAGCATTGGGAGAAAGTGGCTTTGGGCTTTCAGTTATATTGGTGGGGAATACAGACGAGCCCGATGGCTGACCGGAGGGTGGGAACGCGATGTTGGCCGACTGCGAAATCGGCGAGGTCGACGCGCTTGAGCCGCCGTGGCTAGGTGGCGGAAAAAGACCCCCTGGAGATGGTCTGCCGGATGCGATGGGGGGATACGTGCTCGGCTGGCGCGACGGGTAACTCGGCGCAGTATTAGCTCGAGAGATCGATTCTGTTGGTAAATCGTGCTTCTTGATACTAGGCATATTGAGTCGCCGTTCTTCTTCCTCATCCATACGCTCCGGTTCAGCATATACAAGCCCATCCATGGTGTCATCCGCCGCCCCGGCAGCTGCAGCGTCGCCGTATTCATCCTCAGGAGCATAGCTTCCCATACTGGCACGACGACCGGCGCAGCCCCCTTGGCCTTTGTTGTGGCGAGCTAACGCGTCCCCGCGAGCAAACCTGCGCCCACATTTGGGACAGATGTGTGGCCGTTCACCGGTGTGTAATTTGGTATGTCTCTTGAGATCATGAAGTCGGCGAAAGCGTGATTGACAGGTCTGACAAACATAAGGCTTCTCCTGGCTATGGGTGAGAAGGTGGCTCTTGAGATTATGATGCCTTGTGAATTCTGTCGAGCAATAAGGGCAACGGTGCTTCTTTGCCGACGGTGACCGCTGGCCTTTGTGAAAGCCAGAATTGGGTAGGCTCAGGCCACGGCGCGGGTCGTTTAAGCTGGCTGTGGGCATTGGGTATGAAAACGCCTTAGTTCCTGGTTCTTGAGACAGTCCCTCTCGATGGCGAGGATGTTCTCCATCATGAGAGGCCGAGTCCTCGATTGGACCAGGACTGGCTACTGTTGAGGTAGTCATCAGGGTCGGGTTATTTTCGGCTGTGCCGAAGGCATCAGGCGTATTTCCCGGGGCTGGATTCGAATCTACCTGCATTTGATCTGAGGACAAAGGTATGCAATCTGGCGCCGAGCTATCCTGCTGCTTTTCGCTGGCGCCGAGTGCCTCCCTCGCGACTTGTGAATTGTGCTGCTCTGACCCTTTCTCCTGTTCGAGTGGTCGGTCCATCGAACCGGAAACTGAACTAGCGGTCGTCATTGGCGGTAATAATTCTCTTGAGCGAGAGACGTTCAATCCGGCGCTGGCGATAGACGTCAGGCTGGAATCAGGCCTCGGTTGTTTGAAGAAGGCGATCGACTCCGACGAGGTCGATAGGATCGGAGCGGACGAGCCGGGCAGTGGCGCAGAGATGGAGACAGGTTCGTTGTTCGATTGCATCAACGCAGCCATGGATAATAATTACTTCCCGCCAGCGTGAGGGGTTTGGCGAGAGTATGAGTTGCTAACTCAACAAAATTGTTGTCAGTGTGTTCAGGAACCAAACATGGGGAGAATCAATGAGCGACTGGAATTCCTGAGAGATACGAAGTGTGGTAAAGTATGACACGGGGTGCGAAGAGGGCAGGTACTCGATAGAAGAGAGAAGTCCAGGAAATGCATGATGTCCTGCTGGAGGAGGGAGGAGGAGGAGGAGGCGCTGTCGCGTGGGGCGCTCACCTAGGTCGAACCGAGTGTGGCGCAAGCTGACGAGACGTCCAATTCAGCCTTCGCGCAATGTTCTGCCGGACAGTCGAGTCGTACACATTCAACAGCCGAGACCAGGGTCAGGTGTTGCTCCTTGTTTATTTTTCTAGAAAAAAAAGGAAAAGAAGAATAATCAGATAAAGAGACTGAATGGACTCCCCCGCATGGAAAGGGTCCAGAAGCAGCGAGCGACCTTTACAATCAGAGGATGAAGATGTCTGATTCTAGCGTCCGGATCTGAGTAAGAAGCGGGCCGGGATGTTGTTAGTCCATCTGGCGAAAGCCCGTCTGAAGGCCTCGGGGGGAATTGTACGGCTGCAGGAAGAAAGCTAAAACCCGCACTTGTCAAAACAAGAATGTTGACGAACAGTCACAGTTATGCAAATTATATGTCCAAAAAAATGTGGTTCAGGCACAAGGTGACACCTGCCCAGTAGCTTAGAAGAAGCGAACCGAACAAGGAAAGGTAAGCAGAGGGATCTGGGGAGCCGGGGGAGGGGGGAGAAGCGTCCAGAGGGAAAGAGAGAAAGAGGAGTTGAAGGACTTCTTGAAGGGGTCAAATGTGTGGCTGACAAGAAGAGCGGAACAGAAAATGGTTTCAACGCACAATTGTGTCAAGAAGGGTAGAGGGAGGGGGAGAAGTGACCAGCCGAGCTAGCTTAGAGAGAATGAATGCAGATGCAGAGCAAATGGTGAACCAGGTGGAGAACAATGGCACCGGCAGAAATAGAGTAGTAAGCAGGGGGAGGCTTCGTATGAACGGTACGAAGTATTGGATAGGGTCAATGGATCGCTTTTGGCCACAAGCTGCTGCAAGATGCACACATTCAAGCCAAGACAGGACCGAGCAATTGATTGGTTGAAAGGTTGAAACGGAATGATGAGGCAAAGAATAAGCAGTAGAGGGGAGAGTGGGAATGATTGCTGTTGTTGTGGTTGTTGTGGAGAGTGGCTGCGGTGGGAAGACAAGACCAGATCCCCTGCCATGAACAAATTGACAGTCAAGAATGAAAGTGTGTATACGTACTCGTGATCACTCAAAGAGATTTCAATCAAGCAAAAAAATCAGGAAGAGACAGAGGGCCAAGAAGCGAGAAAGCGAAAGGAGAAGGAAAATAAGACATAGGCCAGATAAAGAGAGAGAGCGAGAGATTTGAGGGAAACGGAGAGTGAGAGGGAGAGAGTATGGAGTTGGTAAGAAAGAAAGCGGAGGGAACACGAGCAGGCTGGAGTGTGGCTAGTACTACTGGGTCACAGTACTGAGGCTCGGGAGTTATTGGCCAGATCCAGTCAACCTTACGGGCAGCACCACCAATCCACTACTGGGCAATCTAAAAATACTCCTACCTCGAGCCTTAAGTTAGTACACAACATACATGTAAGTTACCGTAAGTTCTTTACCGGGATACCTAAAGGTATGAGTATATGAATACTAGACTGCACAAACAATCTGTGTATCAGCTGTAGGTAGACGGTCTTCTAGATGGACAGGCCTTCACTCTAAGGGGAATGGGGTGGACGGTTGCTGAACAGTCTGACAGAGACAGAGTGATGGGAACGAGGCTGTGTTGGTTGAGACACTGGAAAAAATCATCGTGGCTGGGGGGCCAAAGGCTGCGAAGACCGCTGGGCTGATACCCCCAGCCAGTGGACAGCGGTTTCTAGATTCCCAGTGGAGGCTATTGGGTGGCTGTGCGCTCCGACCGCTTACTAATTTAGGCTCGAGCTGGGCCTGCGACTTACCCCTGCGCAAGTGTTCTGTACCACATCCTTCAGTGAATATCCTATGGAGTGTTCTGAAGAAGAGAGGTATCTCTGCAGCACTGCTCTTGCAGCACTTCTCTGTCAAAGTATATGAGTGACAGTATTGATTCTCACCCCTGTTGTGATTCGTCGTGATGTGTATTTTCTGTTTGGGTGTGGTGGGGGGGGGGGGAAAGACAAAAAACACTCTTGGAAGACAGAACAAGAAAATTTAGCAGAGAAAGAAAGTGATTGGATGAAGACGGGAAAGAGAGAAGGAGGAGAAGGAGAAGTAGAAATTGAAAATGAAATTGGAAAGCAGGAGGACTTCAGGTATAAACAGAACATCAAGTACGGAGTTCTTCCATACATAGTATACTAGAGGGGGAAAGAAGAGGGAGTGGGCTCAGGTGACGATGTGATGGAAAAGAATTGACTTGCAGCTATCACCTTACTTATACAGTAGAGTAGTCTAGTATGTGTACAAGATAGATACTCCGCTCCGTACAGTACTAGTACTGCACATAACGAAGTCATGGATAGCAGAGAACTAGAAGGTAACACGTGATGCTCCTTCCCCCTCTCCTAAGTAACGATACCTTTTAACAAATTCCCCCGCTTCTCCGGTACTGTATATACTGATGAGTACCTACTAGTAGTACTCAATCCCTCGGGTTACAGATGGCCAGCGGTTCTACAGCTCATTTGATTGGCTGATTGTGGAAGATAGTCAACTTACACTGCCAGGCACCTGGCACTGGCACCTGGCACTGGCAGCATCTCAAGGTTCCAAAGTTGGCGCTCGGCACACAGTGCCCATCTGGCAGTCCATGGAGATCCTCAATTTGATTCGTTCTCCAGGTGATGGAACGTGCATCTGAAGTGACAGCCAGGGCTTCTTCATGGCCTTTGCTCACGGCGAATCGCGTCCCCCGTCTCCACTGTGACAAGCCAGGTCGACTGCTCTAGTGGTTCAAATTGACTTCCTTGCTCATCCAATCACTATTTGCCCTAGATTGTGCTGCACCTTGCTGCACCTTGTCGGCGCTTAATTGCTCTCTTCACATACATCTAATCCATAATGCTATTGGGATGTCCCCCCCCCCTCTCTTCTCGTCAAATGAAGAAGGTATTGCTAGGACCCTCTTGATTGATATTCAAAGTGATCATGCCGCCCAGGCCCGGCTTTTCCTACCTCTCCCCTCATCTCTCATAGTTCCTTTTGTATTCGTGTCTGACTGCTTGCCTAGCTTCAGGGCCCTCATTTTGTACACGACCATTCATAACCTCAATATCATATCGAACAAACAAGAGAAGGTGATTGGGAATTCGCACTACCTCCTTGCGAAGAAAAGAATTGTTTTGATCTCTCGCCATCAAAACATATTTTCATTCCCGATGCTCCTTGTTGTATGACTTGCCCAGTTGTTTCAAACCTTCAAACCTATTCATTCGTCCTTGCGACCCAAGGTTGAGAGCTGGCCTCTTATACCTTCGAGCTCTTGCTACATTCGGCCTACTGCAAACCCGTTCACAGATGTCTATGTCCGGAGAGAGCCAGAAAAGTTTGCCTCAAACTTATGAAGCCGTGTCCCCGATTGATATCGTTAGTGGCCGTAATATTGGCGCAATGTTCCCACCCAACGTCGCCCTTCAGGAGCGGAAGTCTTCTGAATCATCAACTTCTTCGCTTAAAGCTTGTCGTTTGACTCGTTTTGCAGAGGCAGAAACTATTCATTCTCCTGCACACGCCGCAGATCTAGAACAGTCGCCATTCGCAGACCCACCTGAGGCCTTCCAAACTCTCCCCAATGTGTCCGACGTGGGTTTTGGCTATGTCGCTGCGAGTGATCCGGCGCACCATGCCTCGCATCACGACGTCCCATCCCCGGGTCTAAAGAGCGCACTCAAAGTTCCTGGCACCCCAGGACGAACCCTCAATCCATTGAGTCCGACCTTTCGGGAAGAGTTCTACGTGGAAAAGCAAGAAAAGGTCACCGAGAAGGAGAATGCTAGAGATCTTGTAAGTCAAAGTTGAAAACTGCCTGCCATGGTCGCTCTAGATGCTGATGAGGGCATAATTTAGCGCATCAAACTGCGTGTTCGCGTGGCCAAGGTTTTCCTCCGCTTCATCAATTTTGGATGCAGTCTGATCGTCCTGACGATACTGGGTACAACACTGACCGTCTTCCATGCGACCAAGTCGATTCCTGAGCGGAATACCTTCCCGCCATGGGAGACTGGTACAAATCCTTGGCCGCAATATCTGCTGCTGGGGGTTTCGTGTATCTCTTTGCTTGCCTGTCTCGCAGTATTCTGGGGCTACTGGAAAGGTGGTCACAAACGTGCGGAGAAGTTTGCCCTATACTATTCGTCAATCACAGTTGGCGTTTTTGTCTTTGATCTGGTGATGTGGATTGTGGCCGCCGCCATATTTCAGCACTCCAAGTCCAGTGGGAACAACAAAGATCTCTGGGGATGGTCTTGTGTTCACAACGAACGAGAGCAGCTATTTCAAGACCAGATTGATTACGCGCTCCTTTGCCGCTTGCAGGTACGCTAACCTCCTTCTCTCAGTTTTGTCTGGCTAACACAACCACACTGACAGGATTGGGGACTGGTCTGTGCCGTGATCGAGATCGTCTTGGAAATACTGGTGCTCCTGGTCTATGTGGTCGTTGCGTACCGTTTCTGGACCAAAAGAAAGCTGGCCAGGTCCATGGACCGCCGCGATCGCGCTAGAACAGATTTGTACATGGCCCAGCTCCGACAGTCCGCGCCGAACACTCCTAGATTTTCTCATACGCCTAAGGCGCCTATTGTATCAACAGGCATGCCCCAGGACACCCTCACGCAAGATCCCTACTCCGCAGCAGAGAATGGAGAGGTATATGCTACTCAGTTTGCCTACCAGCCAACCGAGACCAAATCCCAAGCACCTTTCCAACTCAAGCCTCCGCCCATCCGGGTTCAGCATGCGACCCCTCAGCCAGCTCAAGAAGAGTTCCATGCACCTGCTCCGATCCCTACTACCTCAAGTCATCACATGACGGCGGCACCCGGCGAACGTACCTACGAGAATGTACCTATCCCCGAGGCATACAAGAGCCCCATGAGCCCTGGATTTCTCCGGGGGTGAGTTAGATAGTTGGAGATAATCATGACGAAAAATGATGGAATGAAACCCACACGCATCTGGCTTGAATACCAATTTTGCTGACTACTAGGTCTGGGAAGCTTTGCTGGAGGCCCCGGTCGTGATCGAGCATAAGCCTGCCCTTACTTCCCTCTTCACCAAGCACCTCCCAATACTTCCATATCCTAGATAGTCGATTTTGTGGAGAGATCTGTGTGCACCTCTCCCTCCAGCTCCCTTGTTGGTCTCAACTGCCGCTTCCTTTCGAGCCGATCTACCTCAATCGTTTCTGATTCTTTCTTTATTGATACGTAATTCGAATTGATACCACGTTCGCATGTACCTACAGTGTCTCACTTTATAGCTCTGTGTTATTGGAATTGCAAATGTCTAATCACTGTGAAGCAGCATTGCTGCATTCAATGCCTTAGAGACAGATGTTGGAAGTACCTCAAGCCGATGGGCTCAGTAAGGGGTATGTGGCGCCTGATTGAAAGGGCAAGCAAGCATTATCATCATTTATGTCAATGTTATGGTAGGTGAAGAAGGAATATGTAAGTGTTCATCCCGGCATTGCCTAAACTATTTGACATTTGAAACAAGGAAGACAATAAAACGCAGCCAATAAAGACAGCCGTGAGATGTAAGCTAATTCTCACTTTGAAAATTGCACCGCAAAAACAGCATACCGGTAGAGCCAGCCAAGAAAGTCACCCCTGCCCATTTCCTAACAAAAGAATCCCCAATCCAGAGCGCCTATGCCCACAAGACCCAAGCATGTTACAGAAATGATCAGCATTACCTCATATCGAGGTGATCGGCCTTGTGCATATGGTAGCACTACCGATCACACTCTCCATCATGCATTGCCCTCGTCGAGGATGGCGTTTGCATCTTTAGTAACGAAGATCTCTTCCAGCCTTCCAGCACCAAGGCTGCTAGGGCCATCATCATTCTGCAAAACTAAACCCTGTTCATTAGCCAAATGGAGCAGACAGATGAAACCAAAGGACGTGCTAATGTCGCGTAGCTTCTCCGGGGCGTAAACCATTTTCAGTGAGTTCATGATTTGTGTAAATCGAAGCGTACTGTCCGCAGAAACATCCTCTTGGCCTTTACCCAATGGTGTAGATGTTGAAATCGGCTGCGCCTCGGTCTCGGGGTGTTGAGGCGTAGCTTCCTCGGTGACATTGGGTATGGTATTTGCCTCACGAGTCGTATCAAACGAGGATGTTGTTATCAGCCGCTCTCCCATGCCCCTCCACATTTCCTGCTTTAACCGACGCACATCAACCTTTTTAGCCACTCGAGCATAAGCGACATATTCGGGACGCGCCCGACGACCGCCTTGCGTTACTAGTTGAGACCCAAACCCTCCAGCACCAACTGGCAATGTGGAGCCAGGGGCTGACCCCATCATGCTAAGGAGTGCGGGGAGGGCTGATGTTCCCGCAGACTCTCCTACAGATGCACCTGGACCTCCATCCGCGGGAGGGGAAAGCATTTCTCTAGCATCAGCGAATGGGAGGTTTTCGCCATCGTCATCGTCGAAACCGTTCGGGAATGCAAGGCCATCATCATCCGCGAAGAAGTTGGCGTCATATGCACCTGGAACACCCTCATCGGAAGCGGCAACATCCTCCGGTTTGTGATTTGCCCAGAATGCCTCGTCCATCTCCCCATTGCCCGAGATTTGATCAGGTCGCCGGTGGTCAGATCGCTTTGAACCCATGAATCTCTTGGATCCCAATCTCGCTTTTGGCTTGAGAAAGAGGCGAAGCAATTGTTGTGAATTGAAGTGCTTGTCGTCCGGAAGAAGGTTACGACCCTTTGTTTTCCATTGTGTTTTAGGCAGAGAAATTGTGGAATTCGAGCTGGCGGGCATATAGATTAGTTCCCCGATAGTAGTATCAAGCGGTGTAGAGAAATCAATCTCGAAAGGTTCCTTCTCCCTACGTTGCTTCGGCGCAACGTTGGCGTTGCTTGCAGCGGCATGCTCCTTGATCCGGCGAATCTTCCAATGCTCCGGCCCTGCCCAGTTCTTCTGTAGGGCATTGTCGAAATAGCTGAGAATATTTTCATGATCCCTGTTATCTGGCTGGTGTGTCAAAGAGATACCATAGACATCACCATCATCGCGATCCATATCTTCGCCATCTGCATCATCCTCGCCTTCTCGATCAACACGATGCACTTTCAGCATGGGCTCCAAAGCAGCTTCACGGGCCCAGACCTCACCTCCCTCGCCAAAGCCAGCATCTCCGCCTAGATCGAAGCCAGCCAGCGTGGCATCGTCATCGTCGTCGTCGAACCCGACTGCGTTGTCATCATCCAGCATGATACCGGACGCGTCACTCACGGGACCCGCCTCTTGGCCTCTCTCATGCCGCCAGTCGTCGGATGCCTTCAAAAAAGGAATGTCTAACGAGCCGCTTGGGTCGCCGAGATCAAAGTTCTTCAATGACGGGCAGATGTCCTGATTGTCCACGAGGTCCAAGTTTGGAAAAAATCGTTCCCCCAAGGGAGTCATATCTATCTCCATGCTGTCCTCAAACATGGTGTCTGCCGTTTTTCTGGCCGAAGACGGTGATGATGGTAGTTCTAGTTCCTGTGATTCCGCCTCCTGATCGTCTGCATCCTTTGAATTTGCTTCAGCTGCCGCGGCCGCATCATCACTGCTATCAAACACTATGCGTCCCTGCCCATCAATAGATAGGTGATTCAAAAGTAGCCCTTTGGCACCACCTTCATCAAAATCAGCGGAGGCCTTCTTGAACAATGGGTCAACGGAGAATTCGAGCTCAAATTTTTTCAATTGGAGCGAGGAGAAGGATGGTGCTAGTGTAGCTTCATGTGATCGCTGTGCCCTCGCGAGGGTTAGCAACTGTTAAGAAAATTGCGAATAGAGTTATGAGGGCAAACAAACCTTTCTCCTTGATTTTCGAACGGCACCTTCTTCTCCGTCCTCGTCTTCGTCTGCCCCATCTCCATCGCCGCCCTCAGCTCCGGTTTCGCGAGCTCTCTTGTCACGACTGTCGGCTAAGCCACTTAGTAGTTTGCCTGTCTCCGTCGCCACGCTATCTACTCTGCTCGTGTAGATCTTGACGCAACCATCCAGCGTGCAACTAGCCTTCTGAAAGTTGACACCGTCGCCCTCCTTGAGTAATGACATATCATGGAAGTAGTCAATCAATGCGAAATTCCAGGAGTTGTTAGCATTGATCTTGTTGTCGGTGGCCATTTTCATCCATTCTTCAAAGTTGGCCAAGATTGGTACGCGCTTCATTGGTGTCACTGCCCTGCGTCCACCCACATCACTTTCTCGCCCTCGATACCCCGAGCCTCGAGGGGTGGCGGGGCTCATGCTAGCACTCTGATCGTATCCAGTATATCGTCGAGGCGGCATAGGTGTCTTTACAGCAGCCTTGATTTGGTCCATATGGCGGTCATGTCTAGCTTGGCGCGCCTCCATGCGCGCTGCTTTCTCTCCCATGTCGTCGTTGAGTGGTATCCTAAGACTGTCCGTCAGTACTTCCCACCAAGATAGCTACGGAGCCGTGCAAACCTCATGGGAGAGTTCTTGAGAGGGGTAGATGCGCCACCATTGGAGCGACGGTGCTTGGAATTAGCCACGCGCGGCATTGTGCAGAGGGTGTCTTTGTTGGTGGGGGAGGGGATGTAGTGGAGCGGCGGAAATCGAATGAGTATAGAGCCCTACGGGAGCCAGTTCCGAGATGAGAATCAGACGAGCCAAATAGTCGGCATCAGGTACCATGAGGCCGTAGGAAACGGTGTGTGGTGGTGTGTGGTGATTATCGTTTTGACCCAGTCAGCCCCCCATCTGGGACGAAACAAACAGTCAACAAAACATCCGCCCCGCCACAGTAACCATTACCGCAATCTCCCCGCTTGCTGAGTCAGCTTAAGTGTGGTTAACGTAATCGGTAAGCCACCCGCCATGGTAAGCCACCCGCCACCCGCGCGCGTCAGTCTCGCGTTTCTTCAACATGAAGCAATTCAACCACCAACAACTCCACCAAAAATGCCTCAATCGTCAAAATCTTTGGTGGATCAAGAGGGCCGAATCTGCCTTGCTATCGAGACTATTCAAAAGGGCGAAATTCTTCTTATAGCGGAAGCAGCACGTGTATTTGAGATTCCGCGTTCAACCCTACGAGGACGCCTGCAAGGAGTCAAAGCAAAGTCAAATAAACGTGCTAACTCTATGAAATTGACTTATCTTGAAGAGGAGGTTTTAAAGAATTGGATTCTCTCGCTTGTAAAGCGAGGGCTTCATCCTCGACCGTCATACGTGCGGAATATGGCAACAATCCTCCTTCAAAAACGTGACTCGAATTCCACTACTTCCGTAGGCGAAAAATGGGTATACAACTTTGTTAAACGTACCCCGGTCTTAAAGAATCAATTCTCTCGGAGATATCATATCCAACGTGCGAAATGCGAAGATCCGAAGCTTTTAACCGAGTGGTTTGACCGTGTTGAAGCCGCAAAGAAGGAATACGGCATTCTTGATTAAGATATATGGAACTTTGATGAAACCGGCTTCGCTATGGGAATAGTGGCTACAGCCCGTGTAGTTACACGGTCTGACTGCGTGGGCAAGCCGTTTCTTATACAGCCAGAAAATCGAGAATGGGTGACTTCAATTGAGTGTATCAATGCGGCCGGCGTGGTGTTGCCACCGTATTTAATTCAAGGGAAAAGTTCATATAGAGGCATGGTATCAAGGCCTTCTTCCCTCTGATTGGCGTATTAATTTATCGCCAAATGGTTGGACTTCTAATGATATCGGTTTACATTGGCTTCGTGAACACTTTGTTCCTTCTACTAAAGACCGGCGGATTGGGCGATATAGCCTCTTGATTCTTGACGGACACGACTCCCATTTGACTCCGGAATTTGACAATATATGTAGTCAAAACGGTGTTATTCCTATCTGCATGCCTCCACATTCTTCACATCTTTGTCAACCGCTTGACGTTGCTTGCTTTGCACCGTTGAAACGAGCGTACGGAAGCTTGGTAGAACGGTTGATCCGCCAGGGCATCCACCATATTGATAAGGTTGATTTCTTGGATACGTACCCAGAAGCACGCTCTCTTGCCTTCAAAGAATCAACTATATGCAACGCCTTTAAGGCTTCAGGATTGGTTCTATTCCAGCCGGATGAGGTTCTCGGTAAGCTGGTTATACAGCTCCGTGAGTCTACTCCAACCGGCAGTATCACCACCACATCAACAGTGCCAAAAACGCCCAAGAATACGAAGCAACTACGAAGGCATGAAACTATAATTAAAAGGCTTCTTCGTGAATGTACAATCAGCCCATCCTCGCAGCTGAAAGCAGCGTTATCCTAT